GAGCAGCATCTCACAGGCAGCTCAGGGACCTGAGCCCCACATCCAGGAGCTGAGCCCACATCAGGCTTGGGCAGTGCTCTGGGAGTGTTACTAAAAAGAGCACCCGGGGTACTACTTACTGTCCAGACCTTGCAAACCTCTGCTGTCTCTGTGAAAGCAGTGTCATTGAAGGCACTTGGAAGGGACCAATTAGAGCTCTGAACAGACTCCAGAAACAGTGCTGAGGTTCTGCCCACCCTGGACCCACCTGGCCATCCCCACTGGCCCGAGCCTTGTGCCGGGGAGCTCCGGGCTCCTTCTCGGATTCCAGCAGGGCTAGCGGGAGAGGCTGGGACACTGTGTCCTAGGAGACAGAGTGCAGGACCTCTGGGACACTCGGGCCCTCCAAATTGGGGTCTCGGGCACAGAGGTCGGGAGGACTGGACCAGCTGTGGCCGAGCACAGTCAGGGACTTCAGCTGTGTGGCTGAAGCAGCTGGGAGGGCTCTGAACCCACTCCTGACCATCACAGCCCCCACCTCCTGAGCCTGTCTGGAGACACTGGCTGTCACTTTGCAGTTGTCATCAGCCTCCCTGTGCCTCTTCTCCTTTCTCATGCTCCTCAGCTGTTCCTCTGTCCTGACTCGCTCTGGTCTCTGCAGAGAGACTCTCCTCTTTTGGTCGGGAAGCTGTCAGGGCCGTGGGGAGGGTGGGGGTTCATCTCGGGGAGAGGAAGCTGGGAACACAGGGATGCTCCCCTAAGACCCACTTTTCCAAGCTCCACATCATCTGGGCACCTTAGCCTGGGGCTGCCCGACAAGGAGCACAGAGAGCGTCAGGCTGGAGTGAGGGACGCCTGTGCCGGGTAGCCACCACCCTGGTGGCCAGTACCAGCTGGTGAGGGTGCCAACCATGTGACGGTCTCCCTGTGTCTGTCTCCCTTGTCCCTGCACATCCCCCTGCAGATCAGAGAGTGAACCTACACATTTCCCACCAGGGTGCCACCCCCTGCAGCCGTCCGTCCACAGGCACATTTAGTAGAGAACTCAGGAGCAGCCTCGGGCTCCAGGCCCAGCACACAGTCCCCTCAGCCTGACTGGGCTGCACACAGGCTCTCTCTGCCCCCATCCCTGCCCTGCTTCTCTCAAGCAGAGCACTTGACTTAGGGAAGGCTGTACAGTGCGCGGGTCCTCGGATGCAGCACGTGTGCCCGTGGTTATGAACAACAGCACGAGAACAGATCCTGTTCCTTAAGCCCCAACGTGGGCCTGGCGTGTGCTGGGACTGTCTGCGAGCGCTCTCTGAAGCTCTCAGGTGCCCGCCATTTCCTCACTGCAGGTGTGGGGACAGAGGCTCAGAGAGATGGGGTCGTTGTGCCCAAGGTAACAGAGAAGTAGGGGAGAGAGGCTCCGGGGATGTGATCAGGGTCTCCTGGCTGTGTTCTTACACCAGACGACGTGCTCCTATCAGGCCTGAGGGACGTGCGGCGCCTGGCCCCTGGGAACCGGGCTGACTGAGACATGTGACTGTGCGTGGGACACAGACTGCACTGAGCCCTGGTGTCTCTCCTAAAAATGCAGGGGACAACCTTCCCCTATGCAGTGTAGCTACAGTGGCCCAAGGAGACCACGTGTGCACCGCACACCACCTGGTACATGGGGTGTGTGGAGCAAGTATCGATTCCCCGCAGCAACCAGGATAAGGCCCAGGCCTCCACCCTCAACCATCGAACACGAAGCACGGACAAGGGAGAAAGTGTCCCTTCGTCCCACCCTGAGCACTGGGCATGGTGTGAGAAAGAAGACCCCCCCCCCACTGCTTCTCCTCCAGCCCGGGCCCCTCCTTCGCCAGGTCCTCCCCACCCCGGCTGCTCTCAGGCACAGCCTGGGCCTCCCTCCACGCCACTCCTTGAGTGACCTTGTCCAGCCTCCAGACCCAAAAGCACCAGCTCCGTGCCGACAGCTCTCAATCTTCATCTCCCTCAGTTCCACTCAGGAACTTAATAAGCATCTCCAACCCAAAAGGCCCACCGCCAAGCTCCTGACCCTCCTTCCCCAAGTCACCTTCCCACTGCCCCAGTCTCCCCGCCCAGTGACCACCTTCCTCCAGGTGCTCAGCCAAAACAAAAATGTCCCTCAAGTCAGTTCTTCCTCCCCCTCCCCACATCCAATCAAAACTGGAAAATCTCTTCCAAACATGTTCAGAATCTGACTGCTTCTCCCACCTCGACTGTTGCCCCTCAGGTCCACACCACCCGCAGTTCTGGCCTGCGTGGCCGGGGCCTCCCAACTGGTCTTTGTCTGCTCTCGAGCCTGGTCAGGCTCATCAAAGTGATCAAAGTCCTCACGGCCCTCCAGCAGCTTCGCATCTCACTGGGAATAAAATCAGAGCATCACTTCTGCCAAAAGGCCTTTCGCCTCCCCTCCCCGGCCCGTGCCCCAACTCTTTCCCCCACCTGCCCACGCAGCCCCAGCCCCCCTCAGCTGCCGGCTTCTGCACCTGGCCTTCTGCCCACAGCACTGATCCCCTTCCCAGCAGTGCCTCCTCACCCTCTCCCCCATGCTCCCCTTTGCCCGCCTCCTCTATCTAACCTTCTAACATTCAGTTTTTTAAAAAACCTATCTTGTTTATGGTCTCCCTGTCCCCCTCCCACTCTTACCAAATAAGAACAAGATTTTGATCAGTTTGGGTCATAGCTGTGGGGAATGGGCAGGTGGCCCCACCTATGCCCCCATCCCAGGAGCTCACCTGTCGAACAGGGGCTTCTCCCTGCAGTGGAAGGAATCTTGCAGGTCCCTCACCAGGAGGGCCTGGCCGGGCATGCGGAAGAGGCCCTCCTCGGTGAGCCCATGCTCCCAGATGAAGTCCACGCACTGCTCCACCAGCAGGGCGCCAGGCATGGGCCATACTTGCACTCGTGGTGGATGGAGTCCTCCAGGCGCTGCCCAAAGATCCCTGGGCACAGAGATCCCTGGTCACACCCTCAGCAATCTGGCTCAGCGATGGGGGAAGGGGGCGCGCTGCCAGGGCCAAGTGTGGCTCCCTTCCAAGGGAGCAAATTAGGAAGAGGGAGGAGATGCACGGGGCGGCTGGGAAAGGGTTGGAGGGCACAGCTGGCAGCAGCCTGGTCTGTGGAACCTTCAAAGGGTCCTCAGGGAGTATGCGTTACTGATTGGTTTCTTTGCGCACACTAACCTCCAAACAGAAACGGCTTACATTAAAAAACCCAGCAGTGTCCACGGAGAGATGCACCCAAGAAGGTTCTCAGCGGCACTACTTGCCACCTCCCCAGATGGGAAACCGCCCCACCAAGGCCCATGTGCGGTGGCATGAGTGGATGGTCACGGTCTGCTCACACCGGGCAGCACCCACCGGGCAGCGATGGGAACAGATGGGCCACAGCTTGTGCAACAGGACAGACGACGGACAGTGTGAAAACACAATCACAACTCCACATCACGACTCATCAGGAAATGCAAACCAAAACCACAAGGAGATAGCACCTGATTCCCAGCAGGACAGCTACTATCCAGAAAACAGAAAACAAGGGCTGGTGAGGATGGGGAAAAACTGAAACACTGGTGCACTGCGGATGGCAACATAACATGGTGCAGCTGCTGTAGAAAACAGCAGGGAGGCACCTCAAAAAATTTAAAATAGGAATATCATGTGACCCCACAATCCCACTCCTGGGCACATCCTCCAAAAGAACTGAAAGCTGAGACTGGAGCAGATGTATGTACACCCGTGTTCACAGGAGCATTATTCACAATGTGCAAATGGTGGAAGCAACCCAAGTGTCCACTGATGGATAGATGGATAAATAAAATGGGATACATACATACAATGGGATATCATGCAGCCATAAAAAAGGGAGGGAATTCCAACACATGCTACAGCGTCAACAAACCCTGAGGAACAGTATGCCAAGTGAAATAAGCCAGTCGCTAAAAGACAAACACTGTATGATTCCACTTATGTGAGATACTTAGAATAATCAAATTCATAGAGACAGAAAGTGGAATGGTGGTTGCCAGGGCCTGGAGGACAGTGGGATGGAGAGTTACTGTTTGATGGACACAGGTTCAGTTTGACAAGATAAGAAGAGTTCTGGAGATGGAGGATGGCGGTGATTACACATGACAAACATACTTAATGCCACTGAACTGTACACTTTTAAGTAAGTGGTTAAAATGATACATTTTATGTCAGATCTATTTTACCAAAATTTTTTAAAATTAAAAGAAAATCATAATTGTGAGCAGAAGCCAGAGCCAGAGGACACACTGCATGACTCCATTTATGTAAAGGGCAAAACCTGGCCAGGACCTGGTTACCCTGGTGGGTCAGTGACTGGAAGGAGCCTGAGGGGCTTCTGGGTGCTTGTAATGCTCAGATTCTGGACCTGGG